AAAATATGCTCGGTATACTAAAACCTATTACCCATAGCGTTAAATAAACTTCAGAGAAATTGCTGCTCCACGGCTGATGCTGTCGAAATTTGGAAGGCGCTTTAAGACACCGAGGAAAGAAATACTGCACTGCTACAGGCAATAAAGAAGCAAATGGATCAGGCATCAAAGTGACTTAGTTTTCTTCCGAACATTCTTAACCCAGATATAAAGGCAGATGCCTAACTTCTGAAGATGCTGTTGCTACCACAGCAGGAGCATCTCAAAATCACTCCTCAGTTATGCCTGTCATCATAAATTTCAGAGCTGGAGCAAAACCACATCATCAGTCCATGCTTAATTATGATGTTTTGAACTAAGTCATTGCCCTGAATTGGTAAGAATCATTAGCCAGCTACCTAGAAACAGAGTTCTTTCAGCTGCTAAGCCAACTTTTCACAGTACAGGCAGTCCCCGGGTTACGTACAAGATAGGGACTGTAGGTTTGTTCTTAAGTTGAATTTGTATGTAAGTCGGAACTGGTACATATTGTAGGGGAAAGTCTAGCCAAACATTTCTCCATAGCTCAGTTTTATTCTCCCACACCTCACTTCCCTCAGTCCTTTATTCTCAAGCTGAGGTGTCTGCTGAGAAAAGCTGCTCTGCGTCTCCCTGGTCTACTGGGAGGAGAGGGCGCTAGCTTCGCGTCTCCCTGATCTGCTGGGGGGAAGCAGCTAGTGCGGGGTTGCCTCACCCCGTTTGTAAGTAGGGATCTGATGTAAGTCGGATCCATGTAACCCGGGGACTGCCTGTAGTCACTTCCTCTGCAGGCACAGAGAGAATATTGTCATCGTTTTGGTATTATCTACACAAATCTAAGAAATTAACTGGGAAAACTCAAAAGCAGGAAAACTCATATTTCTGTTTCAGTCTATGGATCAAGATGACAGTGGGGAAGATGAGAGCTTGTTTTAGAAGTTTTAAGGACACAGTACATTTAGTGTTCTGAGGACTTGTCTGGTAGAGTTCATAAAATTTGACTTTTTTTAAAAAAAAAGATTGTAAGGACAGTTATTAGCCAGCAATTCAGGAGACAACAGCAAATGTGAAACATTTATGTAGCATTAAAGATTTAATTTAATAAAATCTAAGCAGTATTGCCAGTTTTTCCAGAAAATCAGCTGCTTTCCCGGAAAAACTTGCCAGCTGCCTACACTGGCAGCTTGAATTTCCACAAAAGCACTGACTTCCTACTGTAAGAAATCAGTGCTTCTTGCGGAAATACTATTCTGCTCCCGTTCAGGCAAAAGTCCCTTTTGCGCAAAGCTTTTGCACAAAAGGGCCAGTGTAGACAGCTCAGATTTGTTTTCCGCAAAAAAGGCCCAATCGCGAAAATGGCGATCGGGGCTTTTTTGCGGAAAAGCGCGTCTGGATTGGCACGGACGCTTTTCCGCAAAAAGTGCTTTTGCGGAAAAGCATCTGTGCCAATCTAGTCGCTCTGTTCCGAAAATGCTTTTAACAGAAAACTTTTCCGTTAAAAGCATTTCCGGAAAATCATGCCAATCTAGACACAGCCTTTGTGTGTGTGATTTAGTTCTTACCATTCTTAATGTACTGCAGCTGCAGCATGACACAGGTAACGAACCCTACCATACAATTTCCTAAATTAATCAAATTAAGAGATCTAAAAAAGCCACACAAAGTATGCCCTCTGAGATGTTGTAAAAAGCTGTACTGAGTGATAAATTAACATGATTTAGTGACCAGATCTGCACCATTGTTTAAGAAATACGTGAAGAAGCATCAATGGGAAACTTGATTTAAATCAATTCTTTTTCAGGGTTGGGAGTGACCCACCCTGACAGGCCTCCTCCTATTCCTGCTCTGGGCTCCCCATGCACACATTACAGTGAATCCCCTAAACTGGGGGCAGGGAAAATAGGGCCCACATGCCGGATCCAGCCTGCAAAACATTAAGATCTGTCCTGCCACAATACTGTGGGTAGCCGATGCCTGTGGCTTAGCACAGGGCTACTTTTCGCAGCCCGCAGCGTGGTCTGGGTTTACGCAGGGCTCAACAGGCGGCCCACGGGTGGGAGCCAAAACAAAAAAGGCGTCAATATAACAGTCTCCTGTTGAGATGTGTTTTAGTAGTTGAATTCCTGGACTGTCATTGTTCATTAAAAGTGCTGTCAGATGGGTGGAAGTCGGGTAAATGTTGCATTTTATTAATATCAGCAGAACTGATTTAAATGGGGCCTGTGTGTTGTGTCATCTTGCCTTAATCTTTGTATTCAGTGTGAAAAAAGCTATTTGCATATATTTGCATGTATATGCAACCACACTTAAGCTGCTGCCATCAGCATGTGCTGTATCATTGTGGCCCCCGGGGCTTCCAAAGTTGAGTAGTGCTGGTTTAGCAGGACGCTTGGGCAGCCTCCCTCAATGGGGGGGGGGGGAGATTCCACAAACTGCCTATGCCCACAAGCATGGCCCAGGCAGCTCCTATTAGCTGGTTTCCAGAGAGGCACGTCCTGGCCCTAGCACCTTGGCCACACTGCACCCTCTTTACACCCTTCCCTCTGGCTGCTGTCCTGCACCCAACCCACTCCCCAGACCCCACACCTCTTCCTGCACCTCAGTCCGCTACCCCAAGTTCCTTTGTGCACCCAGCCTGTATCCCAGACCTTGCACCTCCTCCCTTAATATCATGGAAAGTGCAGCCCTTGACGACTCATGGAAATCTCGGGGTACCCCCCCATCAAAAGTTACTGCCCACCTGTGCCCTACACGGGGGGTTGGATGGGGGGAAGGGGTGGCAGAGTGGCAGGGGGGGAGGGGGGGGCAGCGGGGGGGGGGGC